ACAGCCTTGTGGATCCCTTCAGAGGCTCTGAGGTCTCCCCTGCCACCGTCCCTCCTACACTGCACCTCTGGGTGGGGCTAAAGTCAAGCTGCAGATGCAGCCAATCAGAATCCTCTTCTCTCCTGCCGCAGCTGTCCAATAATGGATCAGGAGGAGGAGACCTTAAACTGCTGTATACAGTAGCTTTAGTATTACCCAGGCTGTGAGCCTCCCACCAATAAAATGAACACAAGCCTGGGATACACACTCCCCCCACTGAAAGTCTTTGGTCCCCCAACGAAAGCCATAATGTGTAATCAACAAATCAGCTGCACGTATTTTATAACTAGACTTAGCTTGTGAAACCTTCTAACACAAAATGTGGGCACTGGGAACTCCCACCGCGGCGTGTCGAGGACTGGGTTAGGTTTACACCTTTGCGTTTCCATTACCACATTCATACCAACTCTTTTACATCCTAATTGGCCAACCAGACCAATGGGATGAAACCTTGCTGGTCCAGCATCTTTATTCCACTTCTTGATGGGTGGATGTCAGTCTGGAGGAGTGGGCATTCCTTGGTAGACTGTATTTGCATGCAGACCGCACTAGGTAACGCCCACTTGGCATGCTGAGCCCCCATCATTGAAATCCAATTAATAAAAGGGACAGTCAGGCTGGAGAGGAAATGGCATGTGTCAGGCCAGGAGCACATAGAAAGTAACAGTTCAGATGTGCTGATTATGCAATGAGTTCAATAAACAAAAGAGCACATACCGTGAGCAGGTCAGCTGGTACCTGTAGTGCACCACTGCAGATGTAGGTAGAGGTCAGCTGGTGCTTGTAGTCCACCGCTGCAGATGTAGGTAGAGGCCGGCGGCTGCTTGTAGTCCACCGCTGCAGATGTAGGTAGAGGCGGCTGGTGCTTGTAGTCCACCGCTGCAGATGTAGGTAGAGGCTGGCTGGTGCTTGTGGTTCCCCCCTGCAGATGTAGGTAGAGGCTGGCTGGTGCTTGTGGTTCCCCGCTGCAGATGTAGGTAGAGGCCGGCTGGTGTTTGTGGTTCACCGCTGCAGATGTAGGTAGAGGCTGGCTGGTGTTTGTGGTTCACCGCTGCAGATGTAGGTAGAGGCTGGCTGGTGTTTGTGGTTCACCGCTGCAGATGTAGGTAGAGGCTGGCTGGTGTTTGTGGTTCACCGCTGCAGATGTAGGTAGAGGCTGGCTGGTGTTTGTGGTTCACCGCTGCAGATGTAGGTAGAGGC